GGAGGGAGGGAGGGAGGAAGGAAGGAAGGAAGGAAGGAAGGAAGGAAGGAAGGAAGGAAAGAAAGAAAGAAAGACAGGTTTAGAACTTGCCTGGGTTTATAAAAAGAGAGAGCAGGTCACAACGTCACAGTGTTAACATTTGGTGGGACGCGGGTAGAGCCGGTGCAGACTCTGGCCCTGTGGCACTCGGGGTTGATTTTTCTTTCACTTTGCAAACGTTTCTGGTGGGCGGAACATTTCGTCATCTCTTTATTTCCTAAGCTGTGTTTCAACTTCCTTCTGGAGTTAGTCCTTTTCTGCACTAATCACAGTTCTTTGCAGAAGAGAACCTGACACAGTGTGGGCAGCCACAGCTATTAAATGCACCCCTGAAAGGTCTGCAAAATGAAATCACCAGTGAAGTTTCTGTGGCTTATGTTATGGACCGTTTGTATAGCAGAAGGTAAGAGGAAAAAAAGACTTATTTTTCCCTATATTATCAAACATTTGCTAATATGCTTTTCAGAGTGGTAATAAAACTTTGGGCTAGAAAATGTGATTTAATTACTGCCCTGCAGCTTCGTGTTTGAGTGACTTTTGACGTTGTGAAGTTTAAAACATATGAGTAGCTTATTTGAATGACATTTCTGATTATTTATCATAATTTTATTTAATGTAACATTTCAGAAAATGTTTAATATTTTTGAAAACTGTAATATGCGTTATCACTTCCCTTATAATTGTCATAAAATATAATTTACTTTTTTTGTGTGCAGAATTTTCACCGAAGTGTTTTATATGAAAGTATTAAGAAGTATGTGAACATATATAGAACCAGAATAAACTAGGTAATGAAAGCCTTCAAATCACGCAATAATTGAATTTATTTCAGATGTAGATGTTAACTCTCCCATTTAGAATTGATATTGCCATGGCCCTAAGAGTCTTGTAGACCAGCATTGCTTTCTTATTAGAATAAAAGTATTATATAAATTGAAAAAGAAAAGAATGCTCAATCTTTGTAACACCTAAGTTGTTCAATAGGGTTTTTTACCCTGTGGTTGTATATCAGGTCTATTAATAAATTCGTGGAGGAAATCTACTTTCCCGGTTCACGATAGATAATTATGTGATGGTTGACATTTTTAAACCAGATGAATTACATATCACCCATATTCTCAAAACTCTTCACTAAGTCAACAAATTTTGATTGAAATGCTTACTCAGCCTCTAAGCATTGAGAAATATTAGTAAATAACACCAAACCTCTGCCTCTGAGGATTTTTCAATTTGGAAAATAAAGGCAGAGATCTTTTTCCGGTTATGTTCTTTAGTAGTTTATTTGCATTTATTCAAAAGTATTAATACTTTTTGAAAGATAGAGCCTTTTGTTAGTTATGCAGACTAATACACTAGTGCTCGAGTTTTGGCTTGTAAACCTCACATCCAGCCACTTCTGAAGCTGGGTCTACAGCTATCTCCCCGCTCATGTGAATGTTACAATTAGTGTATAAAAGCGAAATATTATTTATGGGCAAAGATTCCAGAACAATATCAATATCACCAAATCCTAGCGAACAACGATTTCTTTGCATAAGGGTTTTCGTCTTTTCTTTAATAGGAATACGTTTAGTGGCTCACTATTTACATATTATTTGCTAAGGTTTTATGTACACATCATTTGTCGTGTAAGAAGATGTTTTATTTGTAGCTCATGTTTAAAATTCAAGAATTATGCCAAGCCTCACTGACCCTTTTAAGTGAATACGAAGTGGAATCTGAAATTTTATTAAAATTGGGTGCTACGAAGTACGTGATAAAAATTAAATAAAAGGGGTCTCAACTCTTTGCTTATGTAGCCAATTCCAGGGGACTCATGTCACCTGGGTTTTCTATGTGATATTAGTTTCTGCTGGTGGATTGAGCACTATACATATTATAGTGAGAATGGCTCTGCAGTCTGCCTACTTCCTGACAGGTAAAGTACAACTTTAATTTCTAAAGCAGCTCTTAGGTTTTCACAGATGCACACATAATGAATCCACAAGCTAGTAGAGGAAAAGTCACATGCATTTTCAGTGGATATAGAACGGCTGTTTTATTCCTCGTTTGCCAAATAGTCCCGAAACGAAATTCGTTTACTGTGAATTATTATGCCTTGATCGCTTTCCTGCAATAGTTTTAGTGGGGGGAAAGGTCGGAGTGGATGACGAGGAGGGTTGGAACCAGTCTCAGCCATGCTGGAAGCTGAGGAATTTCCAGGTGGGACTGAGCGACGATGGAGGAAGCGTCACAGGGAGCGCTGTGGGGAGGGGTGGCGACGGCGACAAAGCCAGCCTCGGTATTTTAAGTTTAGGCATTTCCTGGAGATGCATATGGTCCTCTGTCGCCTGCATAAGATGCTAACTCTAGAACTGAACTGAATCGTTCAAGTATTGCCAAAAATTATTCTTAGCTAGAAGTAAGTTCCCAATCGGAAGTGGAAGCCCCAGTTAGCGAAGATGCTTCGCTCTGGCCTTTGGTTGCGGTGGCTGGAGCCGAAGTCTCAATCGATCCATTTTTATTTGCTCGAGCCCTGATCGTTCCACACCTTTGCCACCTTCCCCTCTCCCCAGCGGCGCCTCCTCCCCGTCACCCCACATCTGCCTGGCCTGTGACGGTCGCCTGCCGGACTCTCCTGCGCTCACTTAACTAAAGTGCACTACAGTCTAAGGCCCACGCCACCCTGAACGAGCCGGATCCCGTCCGGTCTCGGAAGCTAAGCAGGGTCGGGCCTGGTTAGTACTTGGATGGGAGACCACCTAGGAAGACCAGGTGCCGTAGGCCTAAAAAAATTTAAAATAAGGGATTGTAAGCTGACAAGGTCTTTGCAATCTGTGAGGTCAACCAAGGGTTGCCTCACCTAAAATAAAATAACATAAAATAAAAAAATAAATAAATAAATAGTGCACTGTACCCGTTTCTTAACAACTGTGACCCAACTCAGAACATACTGCATAAAAAGGACATTGAGTAATGAGGGGAGGGGGGGAAGTGTTACATTTTAGCTTAAAAGGATAAGGAAACGTCATAAAACATGGCTCAGAGAAAGTAATGGAGCGGGAAAAAAAATCACAAAAATGATAAAGATTAAAATAATCTTTTATTTTATATAATAATATAAAAGATCTGACAGAGCGCTTTTATTTGCTGTGACATTTTAACGGAGAGAGCCAAGTTTCTCATAATCCTCCCTAACTAGAAAGATAATGGATAGAAACATGATTACCCAAATGTTCCTTGAGAGGTTCCCAAAAGGTTTTTTCTTTCTTTCTTTTTTTTTAATGTAAACTAAAATGATTTCTGACTTTTACACGTGTAACATACGTTTAAACTTAGGACACGTGGAGAACATGGACGGCAGAATGACAGATGTTAGAGTCTCTAGGGTTTGCGCCAAAGAGCTTCATAGGCACCGAGCCTCTGTTCCCATGTCCTCCTTCGCCTTTGGTACTTGTCACCGGGTACTCTCTGCTTCCACAGCTTGTGCATCACCTACGGACATGATGGAAAGGCTCGCAGAGAGTTTTATATTCATTCATTCGTTCATTCATTCATTCGCCCATTGGTTCATTCAACGATCATTTTTTGATTGCCTGCTAAGTATCAGGCACCGTGACTAGCACTTCCCCAGAAGGAGGTCACCTTGTGGGGAAAACAAAAGGGATGATCGTCGCATTTTATGAACAGATCGTATTTTATCTGTAAAGTACTGTGAATGTGACAAACCAAGGTGACTATAGGATCATTTAGCGGGGCAAGAGCCCAAAGTGAAATGGACGGCCGGGTGGGACAGGGTTGAGAAGGGGGTTTGTAAGAGAGAGAGAGACGTGTCAGGGCTGCAGTGGCATCTCGAGTAGGTGTCGAAGGTTGAGTGGGAGTCATCCAGGTGAGATGACACCGTGGACGTCCGAGATTGGGGACACGCCCAGTGTGTGTGCAAAGAACGAACCGAAGGTCTGGCATCGTCACCCACCTTTCTAATTTTCCCAGCAGCTGACCTTCCCCAAGTCCTACAAGTAAATTGTGTGTTTTTCTTACCTTTCTCTTTTCTTGCTTACCCCGAGATTGTCATGATCATCATTCAAATGCTAAATC